TGGTAGTACAGGCTTGTTTCCATTCCTGCTGATCCAGATTCTGTCAGATGTTCACACTGTTTCTGCTCCGCTCTGTTTCCTTCAGGATTTTTGTTTGTATTCATATGGAAGTGTGGAGTTTTTAACTCTAGCTGTCATGTCTTATGACAGATATGTTGCCATTTGTTTTCCTCTGCAGTATAACACTGTGATGACGTCTAAAAGGACTGTTAGACTTGTTGTTGTTGTGTGGTTTTACCCTTTTTTTACGGTTGTGATTTTAGTGTCAATGACTGCCAGACTTCAGCTGTGTGGCAACATCATCAACAAGATTTATTGTACCAACTCCTCCATCATGTATCTGGCATGCTTCAATTTCACTGTTATCAACATTTATGGGATTATTAATATGTTTGTGTTGTTCTTTTTCCCTGCAGTCTTAATATTTTACACCTACATTAGCATAATCAAGGTGTGTTTCTCTGGATCCAAACAGACCCGACAGAAAGCTGTCAGTACCTGCTCTCCTCATCTGATTTCTCTGCTAAATTTCTCTTTTGGATGTTTGTTGGAAATTTTAGAAAGCAGGTTGAACATGAACAGTGTTCCCAACATGGTTAGAGTTGTAAAAACTTCTGCATCTGCTTATCTGATCACATGTCAAACTCTGTTTAACCCAGTTTTATATGGACTGAAAATATCCAAAATATGGATTTCTTTGAAAAGTCTTRTTGGTAAAATTCTACTTCAGTAATCTGTAAGCAGGAAGAGTTGATGAAATCCACAATTTTTCACCTGTAATGATATAAAAAAAATTAACTTAGTTTTATCATGTTATACTATAAGTGTGTACAAGTTACTCTGATTTCCAAAATACAAGCTTAGCAATAAACAATGTAAACCTTTATAAATTTACAACTGCCTGCTCTTATGGCAAATTCAATGTTTTCACATGAAGAGGTCAATCAGGAAAGGTAAAAGTCCTCATTGTTCAGTGATGAGTGTTAGACACTGTTGCATCTAGAAATAATCAGACATTCTGGACTCTTAGTAGGAAGTCTCTCATAGTTAATTTAATCATAAATGGTTGAATAAATGTAATAAGAAATCACTGATTAAATGATGTGTAATCTTTTCAACGTTTCATTCTTGGATGGGCTCTGTCTACAATGTTTGCTTGTAGACATTTAGGATTTTGGGCAAGAGTTAGGGTGGAGGAAAACTAATTGCACTATAGAAGAACATGCATCAACAGCACATCTGAGGGTGGGGGTCTTGGTTTTTTTCACCGACATAAGCCGACATAAGGGAGACCAGCGCTGATGACCCTGAAAGGGACCCCGAGCGCAGAGCCCCCAGAGGCACCCGCGCCAGGTGGACTGCCCACCCACCCCCCAAAGGGCGCCACAGGAAAGAACCGGGAGAGCCCCACTAGTGACCACACACAGTAAACCCCTGGGGCCAGCAGCGATAAGCTCACAGGCCCTGCTGGTACCCACCGCGCCAGAGCAGACCCAGGCATGGACACACAGGCCTGGGCTCCCAGGGCGCACCCCCTCCAGGCTAAGGTCCAACAGGGCCAGGGGACCCAAGCCCCACCGGGCAGAGCCGGCACATGCCCAAGCACCCAGCCCTGGACAACAAGAGCCACCAGCGCACCGGCGGGCAAGGGGACAACCCACCAGAGGGCATTGTGGCAGGGAAAGCAGTGGGCCCTAAAATGAACCCGAAGAAGGGGCCGCCCAAGTCCCAGCCTGACAAAAATACAAGTATACACAAATACAATCACACAGTCCCACCCTCATCCTCTCACCCATTCATTCAAAGACAGACAGGATGGACGCCAAACTCCACTCATATTCCCCATACATTATACCCCCCAGGTCCAGGACATGCACTCGTCCCTTAAAGAGGGCAGCTCACGCCCAAACCCAGGAGGTAGACCCCTTCAATCTGGGGTGGAGAGGAGCAGACAGCCAAGTCTCGGCCCGGGCTGCACCAGGCCAATCGGCCAGACCCCTATTCCAGCAAAGCCCCGACCATCTTTCTTGAGTCCAACAGGAAATGGACATCTTGCATCAGACTGTTGCTGTGAGAAGATTGAAAAGAAAGCGCTTCATCCAGATTGGAGACACTTTCAGTCTCACTACAGAACAACATGTTCAGGCTGGCTTTGTTCGGTTCGGTACATTTCCGACATCAGAACACTATTTGTCACTGATTGGTTAGGGGTGGAGTCACTGAGCTGTCCTTACAAAAACAACTCGAGGCGCCATTTTTTTCTATTGTAGCAATTACACTCTCAATGGCAGAACAGAGATCCACACCATGGTCCAATGTTGAGGTGCAGG